CCCCCCCCAACAATCTGGTTTTATTAAATGTTTTATTATACCCAAATGGATTTCTTCCCACCTCAGCTGGCCAGGCCAAAATTAAAAATGAAGTTAAATGCTCTAATCACTGAAAGGAAGAAAACATTGTTTTTATCATGTCTGGTTTTTTAAAAATTTTTATTAACCTAGTATTTGTTTTTTTGTTTCTGTATAGTTCTTACAGCACCATTCTCAGATATTTCTACTCAGTTCAGATGAAAGTACAGTTAGTCTATTGAAGAACTGTTGTCTCCAGGCTGAGTCTGATTTCCAAAGCAATGATCAACAGATTTTCAAGACACTTGCTTCAGAATCCTTGGGATTAAACAATAGTAACTCCTGTCCTCACTGGTTTGATATAAATGATTCCAAAGTCCAACCAATCAAGGAAAAGGATATTGAACAGCAATTTCAGGGTAAAGAAAGTGCCTATATGTTGTTTTATCGGAAATCCCAGTTACAGAGACCCCCTGAAGGTATGAAAAGAAAAATCTACCTATTTGTTTAAGTTAATGACTTTAAAAGATAAACATCAAATGCTGTTTGAGTTTTTACCCTAACAATTTGTCATTTTATAAAGAGTATGTATTTCTACTTAATTTTCTCTCCTATAATGAGATCATAGTTAGATTTTCAAAACTGATTTTTCTTGGTCATGTAATATAATATCTTCTTACTGTGTTGGCAAACTTGAATATGATTGTCCCATGCTCAGACTTGGCTCTGTCATTGAGCCCTATATTGCCTTTGAGTTGTAAGTGGCCTTGGTCCTATTTTCATATCTTCTGCTTTGTTTTTCTCTTTCTTTTATCTTTTTCCTTGAGTTAATGTGTTCTTTGAGCAGTTGAAATATCTTTGAAGCACTCTTCGTTGAACTTACTAAGAGAGCCCAGACTGTGGGAGTTAACCATTGAGACCCATAATAATAAAGAGAATTTTTTAATTGAAGCTGATATTAATAACATGAATAAGTCAGTAAGACTTTTTGATCACTTCCCAAAGTCT